ACATAGATTCCCTTACCTCATCATCATCAGAATCATTCCCAAACACTGATGGTTTTTGCAAAACAGGGTGTAACTTCTGTGCTTTCTTTGGCAAAATAAGCCCATACCTGCATTTTTTTTTGAAATAGAAATTACACCATTATATTTAAATGTTAAAACATAATACATTCACTACCTCTTCCAGATGGAGCTACCAAGTCAAAACAAGTCTATGAACACACAAGTTTCCGATCTTCAGACGTCTCAAAGTTCTAACGTGCTAAGATTTTATAACTGTTACTCTAAGGGATTATTTGTAGGCACAAGCCAAACTCAAACACCATGTTAATCCAAGAAGAGAAGTAACTGAAGAGTACAGAAATGATTTAGATGGTAAAATTCGACTAAGGCAGCAGTTCTCAACCTGTGGGTCGCGACCCCTTTGGGGGTTGAACGACCCTTTCACAGGGGTCACCTAAGACCATCGGAAAACACATATATAATTACATATTGTTTTTGTGATTAATCACGATGCTTTAATTATGTTCAATTTGTAACAATGAAAATACATCCTGCATATCAGATATTTACATTACAATTCATAACAGTAGCAACATTACAGTTATGAAGTAGCAACGAAAATAATTTTATGGTTGGGGGTCACCACAACATGAGGAACTGTATTAAAGGGTCGCGGCATTAGGAAGGTTGAGAACCACTGGACTAAGGTTTTTAAAAGAACATGTTGGTGGAAAGCTCAGTTCATGTCCATTAAAAATAAAAACACTCTCAATTATCTTTTAGTCTGACAAGAGTCAAGAAAATAAATCCCCCCCCCCCGCCCCTACTGTGCACTGACACAGTTTTAAAGAAGTTATTGATCGGATAATATGACCCACACTTTCTTAAAAGATTACATTAACTGAAACACCCGAGTAGCCATAGGATAACTTCTCATTACACCTCATTACGCTCCCTCGCCTTGTACTGGAGGATCTGAGCGCACCATCCCATCAGAGGCAATTCACTCAGTTTCTCACATTTTGGCCTTTAAGATGCAGCGATCCCAGAAAGCCACATCAGAAGCACGGATTATCCATCAAAGGTTAAAACTTGGAAGAACGTACAACACTTGTCTCCTGCGGCACCGCAAACCCCAAGTCCCTATATGCCTACCCTTTTCTGTGGTTTCTCAGCACATTTTCCTAAAACCAGAAGGGATGGCGGGAACCAGGGCTTGAGCTGCAAGAACAAGGCCCGCTAAGGAAGCCAGGGGTGGTCTCTTCTCACTGCCCCTCAAGGCATCCAAACGGGGAGAAACTCAAGCGCGGGGTAGGAAGCAAGACTGAGGGGCCTCAGACCGAGCTTTTGGAAAATAGAAAAGTCTCGCTCTCTGCCCCTCAGCCTAACTTCCTTTATTTCCTCACAAGTTTCTCCCTCAAACTTCGGGCTTCCTTCCATCCTGGAAAATACGGGGGGGAGGGGAGTATGTTCCTCAGGATTTCTCGCTTTTCCCGTCTCTATCCCTGACGAGACAGCCCCTTCACTTCCAGCGCGCTTTTACTCCTCGGCCAAAGGCACAGTCGCCGTGGTTTCTCATTCCCCAGCCTAACCCTAACTCCCGCATCACTCACTGCCTGCCCGGAATCGCCATCTTGCTCCGGTCTCCGCTGAACGTGGCTGACGCCGACGTGACGCTGACGCAGACGCTGACGTAGTCACGTAACCTCTCGCGCGACTTTGGGCGGCCAGGAGTCCGCCTCGCCGCTGAGTCGCTTTTGAGTGGATTCAAACGCTGTTTTGGAATCTAGTACCTTGGTCTTCCGTTTAATTTGCAAACCTACTGACTGCTTCGATATCAGTGGGAAGAAAAGAATGACAAAATTCTAGGCCAGTGGTTCCCATGGTCCCGGGACCAGCAGGTTAGCATTATCCGGGAATTTGTTAAAAATACAAAATACAGCCCTAACCCGTTCCGCTCAGTGGATAGAGCGTCGGCCTGCGGACTGAAGGGTCCCAGGTTCGATTCCGGTCAAGGGCATGTACCTTGGTTCCGGGCACATACCCAGTAGGGGGTGTGCAGGAGGCAGCTGATCGATGTTTCTACCTCCCTAGCCCTCTCCCTTCCTCTCTGTAAAAAATCAATAAAATATATATTTTTTAAAAATTTAAAAAAATACAAATTAACGGGTCCTATCCCAGAGCTACTGAATCAGGAACTCTGGGATGGGGCCCAGAAATGAGTTGTTCAGTATGAGTACTTCGGGCTCAGGGTAATTTGGCAGAAGGTGAAAATCTATATCCTCATAGAACCAAATTGCTTAATAATACTGTGGTACCAATGGGTATAGGAATCAAAATCATATACCATACTCTTTTAAAAAAAAAAAAAAATCGTCATATTAACTGTGCATCCACTCACTCTTGGCCCATTCCAAACTAGTCTTATTGCAGCCGAAAAATCTTTCAATTTCTACGGAGGGATGTTTAAGTCTCCAACTACATTTGTCTTTCTTTTAATAAGTTTTTGTTTCAAGTATGTTGAAACATTTAGGATTATTATGTCCTCTTGCATTGACCCCTATACCATTAAAAAAATAACCCCTTTCCCCCCCCCGTAAAATCTTCATATTTATTCCATAATAATGGAATCTCTCCTATCATCATCAGTTTATTCTCAAGTAAAAACTGGATCGCAATGCCATTACTTTGACTTAACGACCTTCTCTCAAACAGGACTGATAAGGAAAGGCAATAATGGTACTAATGATTCGTTCAGATGCCAGTATACATCTTTAATTTATCACAGTCTACCTTCAAGTAAAAATATATCACTTTATTTATAGTATAAAAAAGCTTTATAGCCCTGGCTGGATAGCTCAGTTGATTTGGATTGTCTACCAGTGGTTCTCAACCTTCCTAATGCCACGACCCTTTAACACAGTTCCTCATGTTGTGGTGACCCCCAACCATAAAATTATTTTCGTTGCTACTTCATAACTGTAATTTTGTTACTGTTATGAATCGTAATGTAAATATCTGATATGCAGGATGTATTTTCATTATTATAAATTGAACATAATTAAAGCATAGTGATTAATCACAAAAACAATATGTAATTATATATGTGTTTTCTGATGGTCTTAGGCGACCCCTGTGAAAGGGTCGTTCGACCCCCAAAGGGGTCGCGACCCACAGGTTGAGAACCACTGATCTACAACATACAGTGTCATTGTTACTTGTAAGCTATGAAGAAAGAGTCAATAAAAATTCAACTATTCAAGTCTAGGTTTCTGAATTAGAAGTAAATATAAGTAAATCAATAAATCTATCTAGTCCAGCAGTTTTCAACTGGTCTGTCGCAAGGATTATTTTTAAAATATATTTTTATTTCAGGGAGGAAGGGAGAGGGAGAGATAGAAACATCAATGATGAGAGAGAATCATTGATCGGCTGCTTCCTGCAGGCCCCCCACTGGGGATCGAGCCCACAACCCCAGGCATGTGCCCTTGACTGGAATCAAATCCGGGATCCTTCAGTCCGCAGGCTGACACTTTATGCACTGAGCCAAACCAGCTAGGGCTGTCGCAAGGATTTTTAAAACATGCAGTATCTGACACTAAGTAATCAACTGATGTGCTGTAGCACACAGGTTTTAAAAATTCTTGTGGCACACTTACTGAAAATCACTTTAGTCAAACAGATTTAAATATAAATCGATATCTAAACTTTTGTTAAGTATAAGAAATATCTTCACTAAAAAGTAAGTTCTATGCCCGACTGGCGTGGCTCAGTGGTTGAACGTCGACCTATGAACCAAGAGGCCTCCATTCGATTCCCGGTCAGGGTACAAGACCCTGTTGCAGGTTCCATCCCCAGGACTTGATTCCCAGTGTGGGGTGTGCAAGAGGCAGTTGGTCAATGATTCTCTTTCATCATTGATGTTTTTATCAACCAATCTGCCTTGCTAGTTGTTTAACTTTACAGTAATTTCCAAAAGACTGAATGCACGATTATTAGCCTAGTAAAGGGTGGAAAGTGTTAGTGAGGTGTCTGGGGTGCTGGCAAGGGTAGTAACTCTACCCTGTCTCTTACTAGTTATTGTGATCTAGGTAACTTTCTCACTCTTAAGAGACTTTCTCATTTATAAAATGGAGATAATAACCTGCCTATCTTACAGGTTATCAGGACGATAAAATGAGCTAGTATGTGAAAATACTTCAAACAAGTTAAAGCACCATGCTAATATATTTATTATCATTACACAAAATGCCCTTTAGTTAACTAATCCCAGGATAGTGGTTAAAAAGGTAGCATTCTATACAAATTTGCCCTTCTTGCTGCCTAAAATACCATTTGTATTCACAGTGAACTCTTTATAAGCTGTTCTGAAGCCATCAGGATATGGGGCTATCAGTTTAATATCTTCAAGAACCTTGTTCCTAGAAATGTTGTTGCAAGTGTCCTGAAAAGCCCTCTTTCTAATACAAAAGAGGCTTATAGGTTAAAACTGGGCATGCGATCATTCAAGAGATGAGGACTGGTAATAACACTGCCATCTTATCAGAAAAGGTTAAACAGGGACCTCAAATTATAAGATGTTTGGAACACAACATATTTTTTCAACCAAATAAAAAAAATGAAGTTTAATTTCCCAAAATTTTATTAAAAACGGACTATCATCAGATATTTTATTGCAAAGATGAAATCTCACAACAGAGCAGTAAAGTTTGCTGTACTAACAATCTTTAAGTAAATATAAATTCTTTTTGTAGTTCTTGAACTTGAGAGGTTATGTTGTTATTTTTTTTAAGGTGTTTTCTTTTTCCCATGAGTCATGGACAAACATTTTCCCACAGGGATTTCTATTTATTGAAATAACTTGTTACTAAGGTAAGTGTGTGTGTGGTGATGAGGAGGGAGAAATGGTAGTGCTCATATTAGTCTTTGAAAAATTAGAAAAACAATTCCCAGTCCATTTCTTAAAATCTTTATTATTTGGTACTCTTTTGATGTAAAAACTGCCATTTTATTTTCTGAATCTTCGGTCTTTACTCTGTACCTTAAAAGAATGAAAATAACTCTCTTCAGCCAAGCATAATAGTCCCATGACAGATAAAAACTAAAATTGAAAGGAAAGTTTTGAATATATTCTATAACATGCATTTATTTATGGCTACCTTAACTGTATATTTTTTAGATCTAACTTCTCCTTAGGTAGCACTTTTGACTTTAAAAAGTGCTGAGGCAAGTGTCTAGGAGCAGACTATGTCTATTTTCTTCCAATTGAAAATATTTTATAGTTAACAAAACTGCACATAACAAAAATATTCTAAATACAGCACCAATTCCATTAGCATTTACCTAGCAAGCTTGCGCCTGGCATTTTTGCATACACACAGGAGTCGGTCTTTGAGGGCAATGGGGGTATAATAGCACCACTTAGTTTTATCTTTAGTTCTATGAGAGCTAAACAGATGTGTGACCAATGGTATAGGTACTCCATGACAATACTATGCGATTTCCACACATTGATTCGGGAATGACCTGCACCAAAGGGGAAAAAAAAGTTAGTGTGAATAGTTTTGCACTTTTTAAATTAAAATGTAAGTTCCATTATTATGATGAAAGTTCATTAGATATGTTTGGAGTAAAAACCATAGCAGAATCTTGTTTAAATATCTAAGAATTTAAAAATTTTGGTGTAGTCATCTAATGAAATACTACACAGCATTTAACAACAATTAAAGAATTAGAGCTATATATATCATGTGGATAAATCTCAAAACATTGAACACAAAATGTAAGTTGTAGGATAATATGTTCTTTGGATACAATTTTTAAAAGTTTTAAAACCTGTAAAATAATATTATATTGTTTATGGATTCATAAGCATGTAGTAAAAGTAAGAAATCATGCATAATAAATACCAAATTCATAATAGTATTTTCTCTAGGGAGGAAGAAAATAGGATCAGGGAGAGGTAGAAAGTCTCAACTGTTCCTTTAATGTTTTTTGTTGTTAATCCTCACTGGAGAATATTTTTCCATTGATTTTTAGAGAGTGAGAGGAAGGGAGAGAGGAAGAGAGAGAGAGACAGACGGACAGACAGACATTAATGTGAGAGAACATTGATTGGTTGTGTCCCACACCCACCCCAACCGGGCTGGGATCAAACTTGCAACCCTTCTGTGCTCTCATTGACACTAACCACTGAGAACACTAGCCAGGGCCTTAAAATGTTTTCTTTTTTAAAAAAAGTCTGACTCAAACACGCATAATATTAAGTTTGGATATAGAATATGGGTCCATAATGACTACAGGTGTTAGTCTCAAACTTCTATGTTTGAAATATTTCTTAATTTAAAATTACTTTAAAATATAGAATCACTCCATACCATTAAGATTCATGTAAAATTGCAAAGTATTAAACTGCCATTTATAAAAGTTACTTTTTCCCAGAAGTCAATGACTAATGGTCAGATAGAATGGTCAAACACAGTGGTTCTCAACCTGTGGGTCGCGACCCCTTTGGCGGTCGAACGACCCTTTCACAGGGGTCGCCTAAGACCATCCTGCATATCAGATATTTACATTACGATTCATAACAGTAGCAACATTACAGTTATGAAGTAGCAACGAAAATAATTTGATGGTTGGGTCACAACATGAGGAACTGTATTTAAAGGGCCAGAAGGTTGAGAACCACTGGTCTAATGGAAAGAATATACTGTAGAGTTGAACAGATCTGGGTTCCAATTATTTTTAAAATATTTTTGTATTGATTTCAGAGAGAGGAACGGAGAGGGAGAAAAGGATAGAAACATCATTGATGACAGAGAATCACTGATCAGCTGCCTCCTGCACAGCCCCAGGCATGTGCCCTGGGTTCATTGGTTGACATTCAACCTCTGAGCCACATTAGCCGGGCAAAGGTTCTAATCTTGACTTTATCCCAACTAGTCTTGTGCCCTGGAGCAGGTCACCTAATTGTTCTGAACCTGTCTCTTCTTCCATAAAACAGGGATAATACCTCAGAATTGTTATAAAAATTAATGAGAAAAGATATGTGAAAATCTGACACAGAGTAGTTGCTAAAAAAAATATTAATTGCCTTCTTTCAGATGCCTCCTACCCTCAGGTCTATGCCTAAATCAACAATGTTTGCTGATTTGAGTTGAATAAACCATAAATAATACTTATAATTGAATAAGAGGTTTTAAATATCATCTCCTATCCATAGTTCTTTTTTAAAAAAATATATATTTTATTGATTTTTTTACAGAGAAGAAGGGAGAGGGATAGAGAGTTAGAAACATAGAGTTAGAAACATTGATGAAAGAGAAACATCTATCAGCTGCCTCCTGCACACTCCCCACTGGGGATGTGCCCGCAACGAGGGTAAATGCCCTTGACTGGAATCAAACCTGGGACCCTTCAGGCCGCAGGCCAGTGCTCCATCCACTGAGCCAAACTGGCCAGGGCCATAGTTCTTTTTAAAAAAAAATTGATTTTAGAGAGAGAGGGAGGGATGGGGTCAGAGAGACAGAGAGAAAGAGAAACATGGATTGGTTGCCTCCCAACCAGGGATTGAACCCACAATCTGAGCATATGCTGTAACTGGCAATCAAACTAGTGACCTTTCAGTGCCTGGGACAATGCTCAACCAAGCAAGCCACACTGGCCAGGGCTATCCATAGCTCTTTAACAATGACAATTGTTACTTATGGCTATCTATTAAATGAAAGACAACATATTTTACTTCCCTATCTCCTATCAACATGAAGGCACATAAAATGTGGAAAACATTCACAAGTCTCAAATTTTTTTTAAACCGACTTTAAAACGCAGACACAATGTTCTAGAATTCTCTTTTAACACACACACACACACACACACACACACACACACACACAGGCACTGTCTTCTCCCAATTATAAGTGTTCAATAAATGTTGAATTGAAACAACATTCAATTATGGAATAATTAAGTTAGGTTTTTCAAATATCAAGTCTTTTCAGATTATAACTCAGTAACATTAGTGACAATTATGAATAAAAACAAATGCTGGTCATGAGAGCACATGAAATGTACCTGATTCATCTCATGTTATGGGTAATACTAGACCAATCAACATACAAATGTACAATTTTGAAGTGCATTTTGTTATAATTGATCCCTTTTTGTATTTATTAGTTCCTGAAACAAAGTAATGCTATAGGCTGCAAAGAGTACTCTGATTATCTTAATGTTATGAATTTAATTAAACAAAAGTTCACCCCAGAATACTTTTAAAACCAGTCCTAACTGATTTTCTGACATATGACAGCTCTCCTGCTCCCCACAGCTTTTATTCTCCCCCTCCTAAATCCCCATGAAGAGCTCTGTTTCTTTGATGCCTGCCACAGTGTTCTTATCTGACATCCAAATGAATAGACTCCTATCTGCAACCATTATTAAGCCAGTCAGCCATCTCCATGGTGATTCAAGGACACGAGACTAGGGAGCGAGGTCACTCCCTTTCACAAGCCCCTGTTGCTTATTTCCTGTCTTGTTACCAGGGACAGAAGCTCCAAACCTGTCTGGGCCATAGTTTCTGTTTCCTGCCCTTTCCAGTGAGAGATTGATGTATTCACAGCTGGCTTTAATTTATTCCTCGAATGAAGCCTCCATTGCTTTGTGGCAGTGATTTTCAACCTTCTTCATCTGAGGGCACACAGAAACTAATTACTAAAATTCTGTGGCACCCCAAAAAATATATTTTTTGTCGATCTGACAAAAAAAAAAAGGTATTCTTTTGATTTATTCACACCTGAAAGCTGTTGTGTTGGCTGTTGTCATTTTTTTATTTGACAGTTTAAGGGAAAAGAGGTCAGTGCTCCTGACTAAAGAGTCAGGTATTGCACGTTTTAAAAATTCTTGTGGCACACCAGTGTGTGGTGGCACAGAAACGGGTTGAAAATTGCTGCTTTGTGGGGTGCCCATTAGCAGTGGTTGAGCACTGCTGCCCTCTTGTGGTGGATAGATGCCAGATCTTTGCAGTAGTTGCACAGATTTTACAATTCTTTCAAGCAAACATACTACTTTTTTTTTTCCTTTTCTAACCATAAGAAATTGTTGTGTGTTTTTTTGTTTTTGTTTTTTTGCTTTGCTTTGCATTGGTAAGGGTTATAGTAAATTATTTGAAGACATCTGAGCTAAAATAATTGCTGAGACAAACTTTGAATCTGTTTATAAACCTATTGATTTCAAAAGATTCGAGTTTAATCAAACTTTTAATTACAGAGGAAATTCATTTTGCTTAAAACATTAGAATAATATGGGATATTTCTAATTAAATCTCCATTTATGGATCTCTGCTTTAACACTGGATTAAGTTAAATCTTCCACTTTTTTTCTTGAGTTATCAAAGTTTGGGTGGAAGTTTATTCCAGGCTGAACATTGAGTTCTTGCATTCATTTCATTCCTATGGTAAGCACAACTTCTGCACAATATCACATTGTATTGGCTTTTCAAAATGATGTAGCCATAAATCAAATTATGTACAAATTGAAATCAATGCAATTTATCTTTATAAAAATTCATACTTTAATACAGTGGCTTTTAAATTCTTAAATCATATCCCTCTATCAGTAACAGATGTTGAACATGATCCAAATATATGTATATTTATTTATAAATTATTTATTTTAAAACAGTAAAAAATAGAAATCCGACATTGATGGGATAAATTTATTACAAATAAAAGTCCTGCACTATTTTCTTGCACTTCAGTGGTGTAGGTATCAGTTGTTTGTGCCTTTTGTTTGCTCCTTTTTGTTGGAGCTTAGTGGGGAAAGCCTACAGGTGTCTCAGTATTCAGTAGACACACTCATACTCTCCCTGTTTCCACTCTGGTACTCTCCCTTCTCAGCTGTGTCTGATGTCCCCTAGGTCAGAGACTTTCTATGTTACCTTTTCTGAGGAAAAAGTTTCTAGGGTTGGGGTGAGGAGTTGCCTAGTGTGTAGGAGATGTAAAGAAGATGACATACAGACACCAAAACACTGAGACAGAAGGAAAGAGGAGAAACAACAGGGAGAAGAAAACTTTAAAAAATAATTATCACTAATACCTTCAGAGAGAGAAGACATTGCATTCAAGAAACAGAACAGATGTTGTAATAGCAAGTATTTAAAGAACAGCAACAACAAAGCTCTTAGACATTAAAGCATGCAGAAACAAACATTCAATAGGATTAGAAGGTTGAGAGAATGTCTCAGAAAGTGGGGGAAAAAAAGACAAAAAGATGCAAAATAGGAGGAAAAATACAAGGATTTGGGAGACTAAATTTAGGCGATCCAATGTCTAAACAATAGGAATTCCAAAGACACAATACAGAAAAGAGGGCAGGGCCACCACCAACCTCTAGGTCATCTTTGTGTAAATGAGAAAAAGACACCCACCATGGAAGAATGCACTCTGTGAGCACATAGCTTGATGAGCAGAAAAAGGTGTGTGAAGAAAGAGATGCCCCTCATACAAGCAGATGTGGCCTTATGCTAAAGC